ACACTGTATCATGTAACGTTGTACTGTCATATGACGTTACACTGTATCATGTAACGTTGTACTGTCATATGGCGTTACACTGTATCATGTAACTTCATACTACCATATAATTAAGTTTTCGTTGTGATCATTGTAAATCCTGCCTTCTGATTAGCTGAATTGGTCACGTGTTATAACATTCATTTCCTAAATGATTGTAAAAAACTATGCCACGCCCACCGAAGTGGACTTATCTTATTACTACGTAATGTCGGGGAATCCCAATATTACAGTCTATAGAATTCCCTTTTTGCTCACGTGTATTGTCATGCACAAAACTTTTAGCGAAATTCATGCATATTGATTGTCCAAACTAGTGAGTGAGTATGGTTTTATGTCGCTTTTAGCAACAGTCCAGCAATATCACAGCGGGGGCTTCTTGCCTTAATTGTCTGAGAGGTCCTATGAACATTGTTTTGATCCTACTCTCCGTTGATTAGCTACTGACTCTGTGGACGTGTAAAGTTATGTGCCTAAATCACACGGATTCATACAGTTTACACATCGGTTTTTCAAATCATACCTCAATGAACCGAAACTAATCACAGTCAATCCTTAAATGACGTTACACTGTATCATGTAAAGTTATACTACCATATGACCTTACAACGTAACATTTAACGTTTTTATACCGCCATATGGAGTTACACAGTATTGGCTAATGTTATACTGCCATATGACGTAAAACTGTATCATGTTGCATTGAACCTTAAAAAAGTTTCAGTCCAAGGTGCATCGTTATACCGCCATATGACGTTACATTGTATCATCTAACATTATACAGTCACATGGATTTACAATGTATCATATAATATTGCACCGACAAAAGATTTTACATTGTATTATCTAACGTTATACAGCCATATTGCATTACAATGTATCATGTAATGTTACAACTCCATAAGACGTTACACTGTATCATGTAACGTTATACCGCCATATGACTTTACTTTGAATCATCTAATATTATACAGTCACATGGCGTTCAATGTATCATATAACGTCATACAGCCATATGGCGTTACAATTTATCGTGTAACGTTATAACACCAAATGGCGTTACAATGTGACGTTATACCGCCATATGCATCACGTAACATTACGACGTTGCACAGTATCATGTAACATTAAACCTTAATATAAAGTGTTACTCTATCTTGTAACGTTATATGTTACTGCATTGTATCAGGTCACACAAACACCATCATCTGTAGTTATACTGTGTCATGTAACGTTATTCTGTCATTTGAAAGTACACTGTATCGTGTGACTTGAAACCGTTCGATGAACTTATTTTGAATCAGGTGAAGTTTTACCGCCTTGTAAGGTTACACTGTGCGCCAAGCTGAGCACTACGGTTTCGTTACACTGTGCGCCACGCGGAGCACTGAAGTGTCGTTACATTGTGCGCCATGTTGAGCACAACAGTGTCGTCACACTGTGCGCCATGTTGAGCACAACAGTGTCGTTACACTGTGCGCCATGTTGAGCAAACCGGTGTCGTTACACTGTGCGCCATGTTGAGCACAACAGTGTCGTTACACTGTGCGCTCTGTTGAGAACAACAGTGTCGTTACACTGTGCGCCATGTTGAGCAAACCAGTGTCGTTACACTGTGCGCCATGTTGAGCAAACTGGTGTCGTCACACTGTGTGCCATGTTGAGCACTAAGGTGTCGTTACACTGTGCCCCATGGTGAGCACAACAGTGTCGTTACACCGTGCGCCCTGTTGAGCACAACAGTGTCGTTACACTGTGCGCCATTTTGAGGAAACCGGTGTTGTTACACTGTGCGCCATGTTGAGCACAACGGTGTCGTTACACTGTGCGCCATGTTGAGCACAACGGTGTCGTTACACTGTGCGCCATGTTGAGCAAACCGGTGTCGTTACACTTTGCGCCGTGTTGAGCAAACCGGTGTCGTTACACTGTGCGCCATGTTGAGCACTACGGCTTCGTTATGCTGTGTACCATGTTGAGAACTAAGGTGTAATTACACTGTTCGCCATTTTGAGCACAACGGTATCGTTACACTGTGCGCCATGTTGATCACTACGGTGTTGTTACACTATGCGCCATGTTGAGCACTACGGTGTCGTTACACTGTGCGCCACGCTGAGCACTAAGATGAAGTTACAATGTGCGCCATGTTGAGCATACGGTGTCGTTACACTGTGCGCCATGTTGAGCATACGGTGTCGTTATACTGTGTGCCATGTTGAGCACTAAGGTGTCGTTACACTGTGCGTCACGCCGAGCACTAAGGTGTCGTTACACTGTGCGCCACGCTGAGCACTAAGGTGTAGTTACACTGTGCGCCATGCTGAGCACTACGGTGTCGTTACACTGTGCGCCATGTTGATCACTACGGTGCCGTAAATTGTGCGCCATGCTGCGCACTACGGTGTCGTTAATCTGTGTGCCACGCTGATCACTAAGGTGTCGTTACTCTGTGCGTCATGCTGAGCACTAAGGTGTCGTAAAACTGTGTGCCATGTTGAGCACTAAGGTGTCGTTAAGCTGTGTGCCACGCTGAGCACTAAGGTGTCGTTACACTGTGCGCCATGTTGAGCACTACGGTGGCGTTACGCTGTGCGTCACGCTGAGCACTGAGGTGTCGTTACACGGTGAGCCACGCTGAGCATTAAGGTGTCGTTACACTGTGCGCTATGTTGAGAACTACGGCGTCGTTACGCTTTGCGCCATGTTGAGCACTACGGTGTCGTTACACTATGCGCCATGTTGAGCACTGAGGTGTCGTTACACGGTGAGCCACGCTGAGCACTAAGGTGTCGTTACACTGTGCGCTATGTTGAGAACTACGGCGTCGTTACACTGTGCGCCATGTTGAGCACTACGGTGGCGTTACGCTGTGCGTCACGCTGAGCACTGAGGTGTCGTTACACGGTGAGCCACGCTGAGCACTAAGGTGTCGTTACACTGTGCGCCATGTTGAGAACTACGGCGTCGTTACGCTTTGCGCCATGTTGAGCACTACGATGTCGTTACACTGTGCGCCATGTTGAGCACTACGGTGTCGTTAAACTTTGCGCCACGCGGAGCACTACGGTGACGTTACACTGTGCGCCATGTTGAGCACTACGGTGTTGTTAAGCTGTGCGCCATGTTGAGCACTACGGTGTTGTTAAGCTGTGCACCATGTTGAGCACTACGGTGTTGTTAAGCTGTGCGCCATGTTGAGAGCTACGGCGTCGTTACATTGTGTGCCATGTTAAGAACTAAGGTGTCACGGTACGAATGCCGGAGAACGTTTCAGTCGTAGAAGTAGTAGTAGTAGAAGTAGTAGTAGTAGTAGTAGTAGTAGTAGTAGTAGTAGTAGTAGTAGTAGTAGTAGTAGTAGTGGTAGAAGTGGAAGTCGTAGTCGTAGTCGTTGTAGTAGTAGTGTAGTATATGAAGAGTCAGCAGTCTCGCAGTTGAATATTTTATTGACCATTGATCGTATGTACAATTATCTTCGTTGCAAGCTTGATGTATACATGTGAGACAGATACTCCCAGCGGTTAACCCTTTTCCGTCATCTCCATAACAAAGTAAACACAGACGATAAAAGAGGAATTCAGATACAATATAATGTGTTAATATTCACAAAGTAATACTTGTAGAAGACTGGTCACTCTTGTTATGGGGTGTTTAGTGTCACTCACATTCGTGTTCAGTCCACACCGGTTTATAACTGTAACACTAATCCAAACATAAGAAGCGACAAATGTGTCGGTTGCTTCAAGTGTTTTTAACTCTGACGTTATTGAAGAACATGCCACCCGCCTCACAGATAGGAGCCAGACAACAGTTCACGCATGTTCCGAAGAACTTCTGGGCGCAGCCAAGGTTGATCATCCAGATCCTCAAGCAAGGAGTAATCTGCCACACATGTTGGAAAGTGATCTCGGCGAACTCACACCCCCAACACATGGCCAGGGGACAGCCATAGAGGACGGAGTACATGGCATAGCAGCAGTTCCTCCACCCAGTGAAACAACTGTAGGACAGACTCCACACACAGTTAATGCTGTGAGCACCTTCTGGCTCAGCAAGCACGTCTTCAAAACAAACCTGGAAAAGAGTCGCATTTTAAAAATTAAATTCCCGAGACCTGAGTCTTCCAGACTATAAATGTGTCAATGAACTTGCTTTATATGCAGTCATTGTGGCATTTTTTCCGAAAAAGGTGTGTGTACTTTCCTTTCGCATGTTATGAAATATCGTATGTAAAATTATGGATCGTTAAAATACATTTCGAAAGCATTTGAGGGACTGACCATTTAGTATTCAGGACAGTGCCTGAGCTTTTTGTTGGAGAAAGAATATGTTTTCAATCACCACTTCAAAACAAACAATTGTTTGGGTTTCTTTGAAGAAAGAGCAAAATATTTCTTGGTGGCCCCACAATAGGACAGTGAATATTTAGAGGGGAATACATGTCAGTGTATTAGTATGTCGATATGCATGTCAAAAAAGGAAAAAGATATCACGGGTTAGTAACAATGGCTCGTGTGTTCAAAGGGCAATCTGGTCTCTACACCTATACAACCACAACATCAATCAAAATCATTTCATGGTGCTTTCCCTTTATTAAAGACCAGCCGTGTAACTGCTCCGGTCATTTGATTAAGTACTATCGATGTCTTCAATTGAAGAACTGATATGAAGTCATTTGAATTGCAATAGGTAAGCGTATATTGTTCAGACAACATTCTAAGTTATATTCACTCGCGTGTTCCTAGAGTTCTCATAATTATACAAGATCAACGGACACATTCTTTGGAAAAAGTACCGTATAAATCAATTGTTATTGTTCGTGAATTAAGTTGGTATGTTTACCTTATGCTAAGCATAATTCCTGCTGCTTACACTTGTATGTTGATCCATTCAGGCCCTTCTTCTCTTGCAATGTGCAGTTCTTTAATGTGCACATTGTGACATGTCATAATAATATTGAAGAATTTCAAGATTTTATTCAGATATGATGTATTTATACAATGACCTGTCCACGTTTGCATAGTTTATTTGTACATGATATATGAAACGCGTTTTCCATTTGGATCCATAATTGTTTTGCTTGTTTTTTTCACAACTGTACCAACAATACGAAATTACAAAAATAACAATTTAACGAAAATATGCAGTATTCCGTGTATCATGGGTTAGATTGGCATATTATTCTAATCATTGTTGAGGATATTTTTACATCACACGAGGGTAGTGTACGAGTTCCGTGAGTGCATCTCTCTTCATGTAGCAGGGGATACAAGCCGATCTCCATCTTTACATAACACAATAGGAAAACAGGTAAAAGAAAATATATAAATATATTATATACACTGCAGATACAGTTATCACAGAATCCACGAAACCGTACAGTGTCGAGATCACAATGATGAGGAGAGTTTACGAAAGTCCATAGAGAACTGGAGACAGAAAGTTATTTTGAGTCGTTCTGCATCTCTTTAGCCATTTTTGACTTGGATGTTGCTGAAGAACATGCCACACGCCTCACAGATAGGAGCCAGACAACAGTTCACGCATGTTCCGAAGAACTTCTGGGCGCAGCCAAGGTTGATCATCCAGATCCTCAAGCAGGGAGTAATCTGCCACACATGTTGGAAAGTGATGACGGCGAACTCACATCCCCAACACATGGCCAGGGGACAGCCACAGAAGATGGAGAGGACATTGTAGCAACAGCCCTTCCACAGGTTGAAGCATGTGTAGGACAACTTCCAGACGCAGTCAATACTATGGGCGCCTTCAGGCTCGGCGATCACATCCTCAAACAACACCTGAAAGGTAGAATCATGGGATTAAATGACCTACTTAATACTTTGATGTCTTGGGGATTTCACATTCATGATGGTATGTAGAAGTAGAATGAAGTACCATGTGTTCGTGGAACACTGTGGCACGTGCAAGAATCCCAACTCCTGAACCACACGGAGCCATCGTCAACTCACCAGAGCTGATATGCATAAGAGCTTTACGTTTAAGATTCACATTATATTAAAGGATGACATAATAATAGGTAATATTATATTATTATACATATTTTTTATGGATATATAAAGTTTTGAAATGGATAATACTTACAATGTGATTTACCCATTCAATCATGAGGTATTGTCTTGTCCAAGGTATTTTCTTATGCCAGCACACGATGATGCGTAAACTATAGTAATCATGGTGGCATTATTCTACAAAAACTGCTGTCATGTCATCAGTACTCGTTATCTACAGGGGTCGTGGGGAGGCCTAGGGCATCAAGCGTTCGCTCTTAACGTAAAGACCAAGGTTCGACATAGTGTAAACCCCATTTCTGGTGTCCCCCGCCCAGATATTGCTGAAATATTGCTGAAAGCGGCATAAAACCTAACTCACTCACTAACTCATTACCCATGAAATGATTAGAAAAGGTTCAGTTTTCTTATTCAACAAGCAATGCGTATTCGTGATAATCATGCTGTCATAGTGGGTTAAGTTACAATATATACCTACGTCAATCAACGCTCAGGGTCATCTAGACTCACATTCTGCTTTGTTTATGGGCTTCTATGGGGACGTATAACAATACTATTCATTATTCAGCAAACTTACACGAAGTCTTACCCTATTATACTCCAGCACGCAAGAGGTGCAAGATCTACATGGTGATTCCACGTTTGTGTTTAGCAGAGGGACGTTACTAAGGCTTTCTCGACGCAAGCGACAAGATCCTAATCATTTATTCATTCCATGAAGGATTTTAACTTAATTACGGTTTGTTTTACATCCTGGTAACCACTGATTGAAAAACTCAAATATGTCAATGCATAGGAATCACATATTCGCTTGAAAACTCAATGCTATATTTTCTCTGATATGTTCGTATGGACATGTGGATTATTTTCTTATCTGTAGTGAACTATTTAATCCACTGTATAATAAGAACTATTATACACATAACCCATTAAGAAAGAATGACTTTATCTTGCAAATCTATTAATGTTAAGAGGCATTATTTGTTACTTGATGAGACAAAAGATGTTACCAACATTTCATCATTCTAATGAAATGGTAAATGTAAATACTTTCGCTCATATTCTTCTAATTTGTACGTGAACTTTTGAAAGCATTCAACTTTGAATTTGAAAATATGATAAGACATTAATCGTTTATCGGTAATGTATCATTAAGTAAAGTACACATGAGTAGAGTTGATTGTGTCTTCAGATTTATCATCACTTCAAATTTCAACACTTAATTCAACCATACATATTCGTGAACCCAAGTATGTTGCCCCTTGAAACGAGCGGCTGTTAACACACAACAGAGACATACATCAAAGCACACTGTTTGATTGGAATTCTGGAGGTTGGTGAGTAAAAAGTGGTTATCCATAAAGATGTATGTTTTCTTTTATACATAAAAGCATTTCTTACCTTGACATGGTCATTCAAGTTGTTAGGGTCACGGTTGTCCATGTCAAGGGAGTCAGCCATCTTGAAGCCTTGTCGTTGAGATATCTCGAACCAGATCCGAACTGTGCCAAAAGGTTTGCCGAATGGCAGGTTGTTTCAGCAGTACAAATTTATATATTTGTTGGTATCTAAGCTGCAGAGAAACAACTTTGCATGACACGCTACCTGATTGGATAGATAGGACACGCCGCCATGGCGACGACCTCGCGTGCTCATCTCGACAAGAACAAGCGCCAACTCATTCCAGCGGATAATAAATCATGTAAATTGTATTCACAATAACAATGCCGAAATAAGTGTTTGGGCAACATTTTAGAACGTATTTGGGTGTGTAGTTACTGTGTAAGGTACAATAAGCTTCATTTTCAAAAGAGTAGATCTCGAGATGATAAGATTACACAATGAAGCCTAATGTCGTTAACGACTTCCCCTGTTTGGTATGAGTAACTGCTGGAACCACGCAACATCAACACAAGAGCTAAAAATACACTCCACACAGCTTTTCTTCTTTAAGCGTAACAATATGGTCAATATCGATATAAAGTTAGTTAGTAGCCATTGGGCGTTAAAGTGTAAAATATGAAATTGCCTTTCTGATATAAGATTTTAAGTGTTAAGGGACACTTTTCAGGTCAATCTGTTAAACATAAATACAACCTAATTAATTTCGAAAAAATACATTTTTGAAATGTAATGTGATTTTAAAAAGAAATTGTCTGGTACTGTTTAGATTATGTTTTGCGGACAAGATTTACTGCATTAAACTATTTCATAAATGATAAAATCAGGGATGTTTTCAATTACAATAACAGTTTGTTGCCGTAGACAACCAAAGGTCGGTAAATCAGTCAGCGGCCGACCCTCTCAAAGTCCCTGGTCATTGTAGTTAATAGAAGACTCATGGTTCGTTCTTTGTGGTAACGTACAGTCTGTTGAGGAGTTTATCCTCTTAATCGAGCTGCCCTGAGATGTGCCAATGATAACGTTTTTCCACATGGCCAGATACTGTGAAGATTAATATTTCCATACACACACCTACGCTGATACTCGGTGGGTGGATATTACACACAAGTGTAACGTTACACTCATGAGCTTAGGTCGGCCCTGGTCTACTTTGTGACTGAACGAACTTTGATTTCTCATAAAATGTATTATTACCTACAAACACGGACGGCGAAACGTTTGTAACTTTGGACAAAGTGATAATGGACGCCAAATGTACTGGCTGCTTGTAATTACAGCATTCTCATAAAATGCCCTTGGAGTTTCTCTGAAAAATAATGCGTGTCTTTCAGAAGGTGTACATCATATTGATCAGTTATGTTGCAAACAAACTGTATATTATTGCGTGAAACCTCGCTAGTGCGGACTCCGTTAATCTGGACACCTCACCCGACTTCTGGACGATTACATCTGGAAATGCTGACATGTATACAAAGGGACATTACTCCGTCACCATGATTCGTTAATCCGGAAATTTGTTAATCCGCATGGGATCCGTTATAATGCAGGTGACTAATATGATTAATTCCATCATTTAGTCACTAGCATTGAACGAGTTTGGTGCCAGACATTTATTTTGAGTTTGGTGTTTAGTCTGAAAGTTACATCCTTACAGGCATACTGCGGCTCGAGCGAGATACTGACGAAGTTCTACCAACTTATCAAATAAAGATTCATTTCATTGAAACATTCATTTTTTGGCTACAGTGAAACTTTGACCACACGAAATGTCTCGAATTATCTCATTTAAGTCGATTAAACTTTATGGTCCCGGCTGAATTGGTATCGGTACTATGCTTTCATATTGGTACTCATATTGTCTCGAACAGCGGATAGCTCGTCAGATAATTGACGGGACTTCAGTTGATGGGTTTTCACTGTCTGTTCATGAAATAGAGTTAGCCCCTATTTACCCTTATTCTAATTCTATATCATATATTGGCAGAGTCCTTCTGAACTTCAAAGGGGACACGAGTGACACGAGTGGTGTTGTGCGGTGTTGTGTCCCTTAGCCGTGCCAGGATGCACGGATACCCTAAGAAGTATTTCTCATTACGTGTCTAATAACAACCCAAACACACTAAATTAAGTCTTTCCTTTGAGAAAATTTATTTCTGTTAATATTTGAATATGCAAACGATCATATGGTATAACCAGAAATTATTAAGAATTTTAAGGATATGTTTAAGTGCATATCTAGTATATAAAAAAACACTGACCAGCTATCAAGTGCTTGATTTCATTCAAGAGAGACAACTCAGTTAATCCCATTTCATTAGTTTGTCAAGAGTTATTCCCCTTTGTTTACTTGCTAGCAGACGTCATTTTCAGTGATCCTCAGTATGGATGATTTAGAGAAGAGGGGGTTGATTTTAGAGTATTATAACAAGGACATCAGATCAGCTGAAGTGATTTCAAGTAGAACAGGCATCCCTTTGTCCACTGTTTATCGTGTTTTGAAAAATATTGAAAGTGAAGATGGCATTGAGCAAAAGAGAGGCGCAGGTTGGCCAAGAATAGTGACAGTCGGTGACAGGAGGGGTCTCGGTATTCTTGTTTCTAAAAACAAACGAAGGAGATAGGAAAACTTAAGACTGGATATGATTGATAGAGGAACTGTGGCTGTCTGTAAGGAGACAATTAGAACTGAGCTGCATGCACTAGGTTGGGAGAAAAGTCGAGGAATTCCATCACCGATCATGAAACCAGAACAAAAGGAGCGAAGGTTGAACTGGTGCTTAGAGCATAACTTTTAACTTAAATTTTAACTGGGACAGTGTGATTTTCTCAGATGAAAGTTCTATGTGGCTGTTTCCTAATACACTAAAATTCTGGACCAAACAAACTGAAAAACCTTTGTATCAGCGCCCAAAGTACAGTCCAAAATTCCACTGTGTGGTGGCATATCTGTGTTAGAGCAACGCCCCTGAGTGTATTTGAAGGGAATATGAACAGTGAGCGGTACACAGATATTCTCGAGGGACATTTTCTTCCATCTGCTCAAGTATTCTTGGATTTTCCAGCCAGACAACGACCCAAAACATCGTTCAAAGCATTCTCAGGCCTGGTTTCGGACCCAAAATATGACATTATTAGATTGGCCAAGCTACAGCCCTGACCTAAATCCAATAGAAAATGTTTGGGGGCTTATGAAGGAAAGTGTCAATTAAAAAAATCTGACAAATATTGCTGAAATGAAAGAAGAGTTGGTCCGATATTGGGACAGCATGAACCACGACTTTCTAACTACTTGGATCAGTAGTATGCCCCACCACCTTGAAGCCTGCATTGCTGCCCATGGTGACTTGACAAAATACTAAGTGTTCACCTGTCTTTGAAGCTGGAGTTATGTTGTACTAATATTCACATTTAATACGTGAGTAATGAGTGAATTTATTTTTTTTAAATTACAATCTTTTAATTCTCAATAATTTCTGGTCATTTTGTATCTTGTTAATTTTATAGCGATAATGCCTCGCCGAGCGGGACGAGTCAATCAGACGCCATCTTGTTACTGTCACGTGATTTCGAGCCCCTCCATTACAGTCAAGTTAAAAATAGATGCAGAACATGATCAGTCACAAGACATTTTAGACAGGAAGTTTACAACAGCCACAGGGGCTTGTAACGCGAAAAATAGCAGCTACAAGATCTGTGGTCACATCCAGTGTAAGTATACTATATACATGGAAAGGGGTGTAACGAGGTCAACTCACAAAGTTCGTTCGAGCACGAATTCAACAATGTCCACTGTAAATACACCTTTAAAATTTACACTCATTTCAAGCCAATACATTTAGCTACACAAAGAGGCATAGATGAAGAAAATCGAAGCCGTACGTTTGGAGTGAGTGAGTTGGGTTTAACGCGTGTCAGCTTAATGCGGGAGGAAAGCCCGAAGTGATGCAGGTCTTAGACGTTTACTACTTCGCTGAAACCCATGAGCACGGGTATGGTGCTGACAAACCTAGAAACATAATCCGGGCGAACCGGGATTCGAACCCACAATCATAGGTTTCTGGCGTGCCCAAGGGACGCAACTCTGCACAGCGAATCGGGTCGCCATAGACGACTGGGCCACCCTTGCCCACTCCGTACGTTTGGAGCTAGCGTCTTCAGAAGCTGAAAATATCGTGATTTTTCCCTGTTCAGAATTTGTACCGCTAACATACCTTTTTCTTGTTTATTGGATCGTGTACAGAAATACCACGGGCCAAAACATGTTCAATCGATAGCACCTGCCAGCCCGCCCATCGTCATTCTTTGCGCGACACATAAACCTGATGGTATAATGAGTTTACGTACATTTATTCGTCTAAACAAGCCTCTTGCCGTGCCCTGTCAACCATAGACGACATTGGCCTTAACATACCCCGCATTGAACAAAAGCCAGCGATCTGATTGGCTATAAATATTTTTTTCCTCTACATCGTCTGCTAAAATGAATGGTGCGACGTTTTTCAGTTTGTTTGATTGTTTACCAGCTTGAGAGGAATACCCGGGGTGATGCAGGTCTCAGAAGTTCACTTCTGTGAGGAAACCCAGGATGATGCTGACTAAACTATAATCAGAAAAAATTGAGATTTGAACCCATGGTCCTAGGATTCTGGCACACCCAAGGGACGTAAATCTACATAGTGAATATTTTGTAGTATAGACACTGTACTCTTGTGTGTGTTCTTTACCACTCTTCTGTGTATTCTGCTACTTCAACGTGAGATATAGATTATCAGGGTCACTCTGGGAAGCCAAGCCAGATTCCTGGCACGCCCACGGTACCGAACTTTGCACAGTGAAATGTGGCGCCTTAGACAACTGTGCCTACTGCAACTCTCCGAGTATGATTTGTTTGTTTGTTTGTCTGTTTGTTTAACGTCGCACATAGCAATATTCCAGCTATATGACGGCGGTCTGTAAATAATTGAAACAGTACAGTGATTGACATCATGAGCATCGATCTACGCATTTAGGATGCGATGACATCAACCAAGTCAGCAAGCCTGGCCACCCGATCCCGTTAGTCGCCTCTTACGATAAGTATGGTTGCTGAAGACCTATTCTAACCCGGATCGTCTAGGGTCTGGTTCATATGATGGAGTGGAGAGGTGGG